TATATTGCTTTATATATTATTATTATTTATATCAAAATATGTATATTTTTAAATATTTAAAAATCAAATAATATTACTCTTTAGTCAAACATTTAAGCATTGCTCTTTATTGCAAACATAATGTTGGTGCATGGATTGACGATTCTTATTCTTACATACGTAATCACAATATTATAATTTTTATAATATACTTGATAATAAATTATGAAGAATTTACCTTCTATTATTTAAAATGATTACTTTACTGATAAATCACTTTGCAAACAAAAAAATATCAAAGTATTTAGTGAATATTACGGACGGCAATATTTCAAAGTTTACGTTTATTTTTAATAACTTTCCCATCGCTTTCCGGATAAATAATTGTGTATTTCATATTCTATAGGAGGTATAGAATCATACCCTGATAAATTTTTCGTTAGCGGTATGGTCCAAAATCGGCCTATTTTCTTTGTTTCGTTGTTTTGAAGGTTTTCTTTTCACAGGAAAATGCGTGTTTTTCTAAGTATAGTTTTGATACGAGGGTTGTAAGCTTCTATGAATATGATGTTGAAAACAATATAATAAGAATGTATATTAAAATATTATAGAATAAAAAGTTTTATTCAACTTTAGAATTTAACAAGTGTTTACTTTGCATGTGCGTAATATAATTATATTGTAAAACTCTGAAATAATCTAATCCCTCTTGGTTCTTTTATGTATATTGAGAAACCTCCAAAAATGTATAATACGATCTATCAATAATCGAACGTACTAAAAAACTTTATTTCCAATCCTGCTTTTGTACCCGAAAAATCCGTATAATAGTATAAGAAAAATACGTTATTATGTAAGTGTTACTGGGAAATTCGGATGACATTACGTGATGTGCGACTAATTATTAAATTAAACATAATCGTTCCAATTTCGGGGTACAAGGGCACAAAGTAACGATAAAAGATATTCGTACAATTGTTTCAAGTTTCATCAGGAAACATTGAAAATTTCCTTCGGAAACACAAATGTTATAAAGGTTTTCATGATTGTCTTCTACGCGCATAACTTGTAAATTATTGTCGGCAGTTTACGCACAAAGTTGATAAATCGTGTAAAGAAAAATATGAAAGGTTATCGATAGGTTGACAATAAAAGTGTGGATGGACAATCCATATAAAGTCAATGGATCGATTATGTCGTCAGTGAAAAGACATTGAACGAACGAGAAACATGACGAAATCTTTTGCTCTTCTCTTGGTGTTCACCATCGTGAGCTCGGTCGCGTAGGGCGAAGATTCTGGCGAGTTTTTATCTCCTTATCGCTTAATTTGTAATTTATTGTTCTAAAGGAAGGAAATGCGTGCCGGGCAAAAGTTAATATCACAAACGTGGATTTGTAAGTTGCACTGATGTCGACTGTTCATCAAATTCTGAATCTACCATCGTGGACTCTGCTGAAGAGTTCTAGGATCTTGTGGGCACGTCAATGGGTCGCAAATATTGTTTATATTCCCCCAGAGCGATCAGTTTTGTTACTATAAGTAGTAATTGATATAAAGCATCAGACGTACACACTTTATAGGATTTGGAGAATAATTATTCATTTATCAGTAACAGATAAACTGATTGTCACAAAACACAAAGGTCACGAAAGTCACGATTAACGTGGATCCGCGTGTTAAACTATAATACACTATAATACACTATAATAAGAAATCGTTAAACACGACGTCCATATTACAGTACACAGAATCGTGATTTTCTTAATAATATTTCGACGAACGTTCTTTAATGTAACAGTCTGTATTTTTAGTTGTTAAAATGCTAACTTGTTGCTTTTAATGTACAATACTAACGATACTGCTTTATAAATATTCAAATTTGTTTTTCTCAAAGATAAAGCCTCGCATCAATAAATTTTATTTCACTTTTTCATACAGAATCACCATACCGGGCACCCTGTATAATTAAAACTATAATTCACTTAGCGTGTAGTCCAGATTTTGCTCAACAGTTCCGAATAATGGCGCCCCTTTTTAATCGTAAAGTGATTTAGCAATGGTACACAATAAGATCGCAAAGAAATTATTTCTAGAACGAAAGCAGACAACTATAGATCGTCGTGCTCGAAATCATATTTTTAACATTTAATTTTTTGGAAGGTGCAATACTTTCTAGGACACCTTAATATCTCTCTGCGTAAAAATAATTTTAGCAAAATTTATCGTGATGATCAGCACCTTTTGGACAATTCGATAGGAACGCGCCTAAAAGTTTATTAAAAAAATTGGAATTGTGTAATTCTACGAGATCACGGGTCAGGTTGAGCACCGCGATTACACCGCCTTGGTTCAACCATGGACCAGACAAAAGATCCTGGTTCTCACGACCACGCCCTCGCCCCGCCGCCTCTGCACTCTCTTAGACGGCGGCAATGCCTTCACGAAGGTACCTATCCACCGGAAATTCTTCAAGCCGTGGCTTCTTCAATGCTGTGTACACACATACGTACGATGACCGGGCGCGCATATAGCGAAAAACGAACTGTGTGACCTCTTCCAGGCTCTAGCGAGGCGATAATAAATGGTCGGCGATGGAACGTTCCTATGAGACGCCGGCGGTGGTCGTGTTTAAAAATGCATTGTCGGCGGACAGTATCCAGCGTCACTTTCGTGCATTATCAAATTTCTAAGAGAGTGTCCGCGACCCCTGACCCCAGCGTCGAGCGTAAAAACCCATTCAATGAGACGGATACGCTTGGCATTCCACGAGCGCGAACGGCGCGAGGAAAGGGACGAACACCGAATCCTGTTGACCCGACTCGAACGAGAGTATCGATAAAAATTCCACAAGTCGCGCGATCCGCGTTCCTCGCGTCCATCGGGGTCTCCGTTCAGGCTTTTCCGTTCAGTTCGAGCGTCATGGCTGGAAATCAAAGGCCGGGGCGATGAGTAATGACTCGCGGGCGACTGGTTGACCCATCCGCGGAGACAGGCCGTTTTACTACCGGCTATATATTTTAGCGTTAACTGTTATCGTTATCGGGGTGAATCTCGCCGCATTATATTTGTTAATAATGCTGTCTCCGTCGAGTTAACGTGGGAAGATTGCTTAATGACCGCTAAAGCGAAACTCGAACCGCGCGAGCAAAAAGGGGAATTTCCTTTTACCATTTGTGCCTCTCGGTCGCAGGGGATATCAGTTTGTTCGCAAACGCGTGTGCGGTGGTTCGTCCAGAAATTTAGAGTGCTTGTAAATCAATGCGTTCGATCGATTCTTGAATTTCTTTAAATATGTTGTGACCACGGTGTTCAGGCTGTTTCAAAAATACACGTAAATACTTAACACGTTGACTGACAGACCAAAACCGTAAAATTAACCTAAAGTTTGATTTTAGACAACTGCAAACTATATAACTTAAAACTTGTCATGATACTTATTTTCGTAATCTCGCTAAAATTCATGAAACCTCTTCCAATTTGTTTTTTTTATCATTTCAACGTGGGAATTAATTATTTTAGTTCCATAGTGAAAAGTCCTGTTACCTATGTATGGATGACGTAGTAATCAAAGTACTAAGGAGCTGAATCTACATAATAAAATAACTAACAAGCGTTCTCCATACCTTACTTTTCAAGTTATAGGTGATTAAAGAAAATTATTTTTAGTAGCATGAACAACACAATATTTCACTTTGCTAAAACTATGACTTTAGTCCTAGTGCGACCAAAATTATAAAAAGTTTAGAAATTCGTAAATGGACGAAATCTAATCGAATCTATGTATTTTCATACGGCAATTAAACCAAAGCTAGGATTACTTGTCTCATTATTTTTTATTTGAACATTCGAACACTTTAGGGATTCAAGTTTTTTCAATTAGTTGAATATTTTGTGTACTGATCAAGAATTTGAACAATACTATCTGAAGTATAAATCAAGTAGTTCCATTCTAGTGCCCTTATACGAACACATTCGTATTCGAATAATGGTACCCCAATATTCAAAGTTTATTGGCAGCACCCGAATACTCATAAAATATTCGATTATTAAATCAGTCCAATTTTAGTACAAATGAATTACCTGCACACGATGCTAATTTATATTATAATTAACTAAATGTGCAAAACAGTAGCGTCTAGTAGTGTCCAAACGAGCGTTGTTTACACCGTTGGCAACATGTATCGGAACAGTTGTTCGGAGTAAGCTTAATGCGACCCGAGACGCGAGAAACACGCGTTGCGCGAAGTTACAAGGGGCCAATCACGGGGATATTGTCTAGGCAATTAGCCGCGTCTTCGGCGTTTTAACGAGTGCTCGTAATTGCGCCAGCGCGCCTCACCTTGAAACGGGAACGTCACCTGTGAACCATCGCTATCCCCCGAAGCGAAAGAAAAAAAGAATCCTGCTCTACGATCCTGGGCTGTGACGAAACGCGCGTGAATCATCCGTAGACAATAAAGCGTTTAGGAGCCAATAAAAATATTAAACGACGAAAGGCAGTGAATTTATGGATGTAGCTCGACGAGTCTGGGAAAACCTTATACAGTACGTAACAAAAGTAAACAAACGTAAATGCTTCTAATGTTTGAAGAGATAGAAGAGACACGCGTCCGTCAACCGCCCTTAAATTAATTACAATAATACATCATCCGAATATAAATATTATTCGAGAAAGAATATTTCCTGGACAAATGCTTATAGACAAGTATATTTTGTCAGTTTTATTTTTAGACACTTTGTTATAGCATGACATATTCTACTTAGATGTCCAACGACAATGATGAAATTGAAACAATGAATATTCTCGCAGAACGAACCTTCGAAACGTCTCGGAAAAGATAGAGTATTAAATTCTGGTTAGGTGGAATATACTCGTATAACATGGTTTATATTATAGTTGAAATGAAAGCAATTATTGTGGGTTTTCGAATTAGTAAAGATCGGTTAACTACAGAAAATTAAGATTGTATTTAGTTAAACGAGAAACAAAATGGTAATGTATCGCTTTAACGGACTTACCGGTGTGAGTTCTCTTGTGAGCCTTTAGGTGGGAGCTCTTCGTGTACACTTTGTCGCAGCCGGCCACGTCGCATCTGTGAACTTTGCGTCTCTTCAACGCGTCGCCGCATTCGCTGTCCACCCCTAAACTTCCGCCATTTCCACCGACGCCAGCGTTGCCTCTACTGCCGATCCCTATTCCTGTAGCCAGTGCGGGACGCTTGTGAAAGACCCTAGAATCGCAAAAGAAAAATGCTTTATCAATCAAGGGACATAACTTGACGACTAAAATTGAGCGACACTGCGGCCTATTTCAAAATATTCAATTTAAAAAATTCTTTTCGGATGAAATTCAGTGTTTATATTGCAAGATAAATGTTAGGGATGAAAATTCCTCATTGATAAAAATGTACACTGTATTAATTAAGATTTTGACTGTATTAAAATCTTGATTTCTTAATGTTTTCAATTAAACAGTTATTCAGATGTTATTTGTTTAACACGAAACTTATTTCGATTGTAACATTTATTGGTCTACTAAGAGGTAAAAAATTATTTATGTTTTATTTGTTATTCAGAATTACGTCCCGACAAAACTTAAGTTGCCCCTTACGCAAACTCTTGGAGTTCAGCGTTGATGCTATTACCATGCATTGAAATCACCACCTGCAGCGATACGACGTTCCCGATTTTATTACCTAAAAGTTGTACACGCCATCAATCTCAGTTTTTCGGCTTTACGTTTTGCAGTTTACTCCTTTCTGAATATGGTGTTTGGAACCGAGTAAGAAATTCGTAGAATGTCGGTATATTACAAATATAATATATTTCACAGTGATTTCTGATACTACTCGATATACTCGACTTGAAGTGATCGTATTCGAATTCGTACTGAGAATCAGCGAGTCTATGTTTTGGAACCTATATATCTGTATTCTGGTAAATTGATGGGGAAGAGCGAGCCCTTAGCGACGGATGTGATGGAAAATGAACTTTGCACGAAATTGTACTTTGAGCAGCTCAGTCAACGTGCTGCATTGACTAATTGTTTGAAGAAGAGTATTGTGACTCAGGATAGATACAGATAGCAAACAGGGGATTGGTCCTCCAACAATGGGAATTTAAAATTTGTTTAAAAATTGCAAGTAGAACTCTCCGACATTCGTTATTACAAAACTAATTTACAATGGCGTTCAAAGTGATAATTAATGCATTTGCCTACCAATAACTAACAAAATTAGAAACAGGAATACTATCAATTTAATCTACCAACTCTAATCAAAATCAATTCCCGAAGAAAACAATATTCAAGTGCCACGGAGCACCCAATTAAATGGTACACAATCCGCTACATGGACAATATTTAATAATTACGGAAAGTGTTGATTTGTCCGTCTAGCCAAAATAAAATTAGAGTACATCTAATATGGAACAAATCAAATAAAGAACGCACGAAATAATTTAGGTTACCGGGCACTTTTTTTGCATCGCATCGACATTCAATCCTCGCGATTACAATCGATGCAGTTGATTGCGACGAGCCGAAAAGAAAGGCGGCAAAAAATTCGAAGTACGGGCGTTTACGGTGATTTTAATTCAGGTATGGATAAGATGTCTTCATCGTTATTTTATCTTTTACGCGCGACAATTCGCGATCTTTCGTTTCTCGTTCCCGAAGCAGCACCGGGGAATCGACAAATTCGAGTGCGCTTGTCATGGATTTATACAGAAAGTTTTTGGTATGCATTATTCATCGCGCTTGGTAGCATCGAGTTTATCAATCGATGTACTCCCGGTGTATTATGGCCGGTTTGATGAAGAACGGGTGAAATTACTTGCCGATACATGATACATAAAACATCCACAGGACGAATACACCCGGATGTAACATGAAGAAAGAATTCTCTTATGAATAATACCGGATTTGCCGAGAAAAGAGAATAATAAAAAAGTGGGAGTCATTACATTAATCCGTACGGTTACGTGAAAGCATGTGTGAAACAACGGAACACCAGGTGAAACGATGCTCGCGGATCTTTTAACGGGATGTGCGATTTGCAACTTGGGGAACGACCTGTGATTTTCCGTAACGGGTTATCGCCTGAGAAATTAGAGCCTTTCAAGTTTCGAAGTCGCTTCGACGAAGCGGAGGAAATCTTCATACTTGTTTTTCAAATTTTTGCAACAAATTTAGACGTAGACAAAGGATCAAAATCTAATCCTCTACGTTCCGATTTTGGTGTTAGTTCTCTTCAGGATATACGAAACTGATTTTTGATTCTATAAAAAATTAAGAATCATTTTGTAACGAGTTTAATAAGTATCATATATGTGAAAAAAGATTTAAGAAGAAGGGCTGCATCGAGTGGATAATATTTTTCTCCGCTTTCAGGCGCAGCTTACAAAGATAAACAAAAATTATGATCCTTTTGCTTTTTGCAGAAGTTTCGTATAAATACTTATACGATATCGAAGGAACATCGTTAATCGTTTAACTGTCGCATAATTTATTCCGAAATTAAAATTGAACGCTTGGATCTCGGTATTTAATTACGTAATTACATTATGGCGTCTCATTGCTTCGAAACTATTTCTAAAATGCTGCCATTCTTCATACTTTTTCTTGCGGGTACGCATTAAACGCGCTCATAAATCACCGACTTTTTTCTCGTCTAAACATTTTGCGTAGCACTCCCATGAATATCCATGAATCATTTGTCCCCTGTAATAGATACTGTGACCGACGGGGTAAACGTTGATATTTCATTATAGTCTGCGCTCTGCCCACGGACTTAAACACGAGTTCATTATAATTTTTCGAGATCTTTCCTAATGAATGATCGACCGAAAAGAATACCACGGTTTCCGCTCGTTCGTTCGTCAAGAGAAACGATATTGCTTCCGCCGAGCAAGTCCAGGGAACGCAACGTCGAAACTTTCCTGAACTTTACGAGCCAGAACATGCATGTCTCTTCTGCGTAAGTCGATACCAAAACATAAAACATATCGTCTATTGCGAAAATAGAGACTGAAAGCATCAGCCGCTGATTAAATATTTCGGCTAATTAACAACCCTCCTTAACGACAGAGAACCAGCAGATGAGATACAACATGAATACCAATCGGATTGTCGAATTTAAAAAATGCAAAGAATACGTTATTAATAGTACTTATAAATCACTGTCAAATATAATTCCGTAATATCATCGTTATACTTCTTATTCAAAATTTAGAAAAATAACTATTCTCTCTGACCAATTGAACTAAATCTATTTGTACACAAATTTTTTTGCAAGATATTCTTGTATCTCTCCATCGAAGATAGTTTCCAATTGAAACTTGTTTCATTTAGTACAAACAACTACCTTGACATCATCTATAATTATAATTGTAATAATCTGAAATTAATACTAATGTGGCCACGTTGTCAATATACGGGTTGTATCACGTATCATTATTTTTATTTTGTTTATATATAGATTTATGAATCCACTATTGGTAATAATGCGATGTTGTTGAAACCGCAGGTGATATTGGCGCCAATCACATAACAATGCAGGTTGCATAAACTTCCTATTCTTAATAAGTTTCTCTCCTACTATGTAATATTCTTGGCTCCGTTACCTGTTTGTGTCGTCCTTGTGTTTATTAACATCGCACGTACCTATCGGCCGGAAACAACAATGTTTTTCGTTTTCTTCGGTAGAAAAAGACAACCTTTTTAACGTAGACAAAAATTCCTATTTTTATTGTTCTACAATAGAACTCGAAAATTGGATAACACAAAGTCTCGAAGAATCCTTTATACTCAATAAATATTAGTAAACAAGGTATTTATTACTATTCTTATTTTCATTCGCCTCATTTAAGCACAGTAAAACTTTATTCCTAGTAATGGATTCTGAATATATTCGTAAAGGAATACAAACATAGAAAATAGGTATAACATACTTCCCAAATGAATTTTTTCACATTTTTTAGAACTTTCGATACAATGTTCCAAAGAAGATCTAATTTAAAATGTCGACAAATAAATTTACGTTTTCTAAAATTACATTTACTGCCAAAAAGGGGTCATTCGATGTTTTTCTTTCCTCCTTTCTGACTCAATTTTATATTATCGAGTAAAATGACTACACATTTATTTACAGTTTTGATTTTAGTGAAAAGGTTTCGCCTGAAAAAGTGTATTATAACACACACAAAACCGCGCGATGTAGAAGTCATGATATTACACGGGTTTGATACTTATAGTCAACGTTTCTATTTAACAATGTACCACCATAATTAGGCTAACTGATAATGGTGAATACAAGAGTTCTTTTGCTGAACTGTAGTCGTTCGAACGGCGAAGAAAGAAGAATGCTGGTTAATTTATGGGGCGAAGGATGGCGAGCAAAAGTTCAGAACAAAGCGTTCCCGTCTCGCGGATTTCATGGGCCGCCACCGAAATGGCTACCAAGAACGGGTTAGACGGTTCCTCCGGATGATGTACGTCGGTTGTTCAACTTTGTCTCGGCTCGATAAAAAGAAGCGAAGACGCATCGAACCGCGGTCAATCAATCTTATCCCGACGCCTGGTGAAACTCGTTCCGCGACCAAATTCGTACGTGGCCGTCGATTGTCCCTACGTTGAATCGCGGGATGCAGTTAAAGGATAATTTAAAGCATCGAACGAAACTCGGGATTCAATACACCGGGCTACAAGTTCTCAAAAGTTCTCAATAATTACAAATCGGAACTTTCGTTATTATTGGGTTGTTCGGAAAGTGACTTCGTTCTTTTCGTTTGTAAAAAGGAACAATTTTCTTATAATATATAAATATTTTATTGAATTGTGTACTTGTCATTTTGATCCAACATCTTTTGTCATCTTCCTGGTAATAGCATGATTCCATGCTCATGAAATTTCTGACCTTTATTTATAAAAAACTGATGCAAGCGATTTTTGACATCGTCGCTTTAAGTAAATGTTTTATCGTTTAAGAAATTTTTTAAAGACCGAAACAAGTAATAATCCGATGGTGCCGGATCTGAGGGGTATGGTGGGTGTCGTAGCACATCCCATAAAAACTGCAATAGCTTCTGACGAGTTACTAAACTTGCGTGAGGTCTGGCATTATTATGATGGAACCCAAATGTCGAGCTTTGAAACGAAACCAAGTCGTTTCATGTGATCACAAACGGTCGAATTCGACAAATTTAACCTCTTAACAATTTTTCGTGTTGTTAT